GAAAAAGGGTTTATGGACCGAAAATCAAAAATGAGAAAACAATAGTATGACAGGGAACCAGAAAATAATAGGGGCAACTCAACCAGCACCTGAAGATAGGTTGGAAAGACAGGCTTTAACAGGTAAAGGATACAACTTGAGATCAAGTCCAGGAGGGAGAAGGTTCGGAACCACTTAGGCAAATAGCAGGTTGACCCCCCAAATCTAAAAACTGAGGGAGATGGTAAGACCCAAAAATGCACAGTGCACGCTAGGCAAGTGAAAGGAGAGGAATAGTCTTAAAAAAGAAGGCAGAGGATATTGTTAATAGTGTGTCGGGATTTAAAACTCACATTACTCATACTGCTCTGCTTAGTTAGATTATGTTCTGTCCCAGTTTGTCTACTTGCACTAGATCTGAGGGCACAGACAACTATCCCCAAAATAACAGGATATAATACAGTAATCATCCGTAATTTCCTATTAACTTAATATGGAATTCTGTATAACTTACACTGTTTTACCATGACTGATCTTAGTTAAATCTGGTTGGTTTGATTGCTGTTTGGTACTAACAGATTTTATTCAAAATTGTTACGATTGATAGTATCAAGTCTGAGAGTATAGGCAACTACACTGAAGATGACAGGATTCACTATGATACCCATTCTGATTTGATTATTACCTGTTTTTAAAGTTTTTATACTATCTACAAAGTTTTGTTTTTGTTACTATTGTTATATTTAATTATACTATGTCTCATGATATAGCCCATTCTATTGAAGATAACAAGAGACAACACAGTAACCATGGTAGAACTCCTTGTACAGTGGTTTTATGTGACTTTTTTCTTTTCATGTATTTATAGGAATTTGTTTTGTCTTTCTTTGTTTTGTTTCTCCTTCTAATATATAAAGGATAGAAATACATGTTGAAACTCATGCATGCATAGAACCTATAAACAGTTTACAAGAACTGATCTTGTATAATGCATGATGAAATGAACAACTACTTTGAAGAAAAAGAGACACTACAGTACTCACTGCTCATCCCCTAGTGTTGTGATGTGAAATGCAGCAATACTATTATTCTTTGTTCAGAGTGATTTTAGCCTGCTTTGGATCTTAACATAAGTTAAGGTATGGATAACTGCATGTATGTTTAAGTGTATAGGATTGATAACCATATTACTAAGTTTTTGTTGGATAGTTGAACAGAACTGTTTGCAGTCCCATTGTTTGAATCCCTACTTTGTATGCTTCACTTTTGTATCTTGAACAACTATTTGTAAGAGGACAATATGTAATCATCAACTAGTGATTTTTTACTGTTTATTTTTTCTTTGAAAGTGTATACTATTTCTACCCTTAAAAAAAAACTAGAAAAATTAAAACTTTGTGTTTAATGGTTGCTTCATATACATTGTGCTAAAGTTAAAATCTGAAGGAAATATTTGAAAAAGTCTTTCACCCTCATCACTTCGCAGTTCCTCTTTCTCAAAAGCAGCTACTATAACTGGGTTATTGTGAATATTCAGGACCTATACAAGCACACATTCACATGTATTTGCATAAAACATACTATTCATAGTCATCATCAGGATTGCTTTGATCAAAAGAAAAGAAAATAGGGCTGGGGGCATAGCTCAGCGGTAAAAGCACTTGCCTAGCATGTGCAAGACACTGAGTTCAATCCCCAGGGGCAAGACCAAACTGGGGGTGACAGAAAATAACAAATGTTTGGGAGAAGAGAGAATCCTTGTGCATTGTAAACAGGAAGGTAAAATGATAGCTAGTGTGGGAAAAGGTGCCTCAACAATTGTAAATACAGATTTATTATCTGATCCACTGTTGTACTTCCAGGCATATACCTAAAAGAATAAAAAGCAGGAAAGAGGAGAAAGATTTTTTATACCTTTATTTATGGTGGCATTTTTCATAAAAACCAAGAGGTGGAACCACCCACCATGGATGAAAGGGTAAACAAAATATATATTGTATATATAAAATGTATAGGTGAATTTTGAGGATATCATGCTAATTAACATAAATCAGGCAACGTTCTGCATGATTCCATTTACCTGAGTTATCTTAAGTAACCAAATTGATAAAAGCAGAAAGTAAAAGTCAAAAAAAAAAGTGTGGGATTGCATCAACCAAAAAAAAAAAAAAGGAATTAAAAAATGGGCAACAGACTGAATAGGGTTTCAAAAAAGAAGGCATATAAATAGCCAGTAGGCATGTGAGTTTCTCTGTTTTTGATTGGCTTTACTGTGAGGTAGCTAACCAGATTTTCTCTGTATTATTTATCCTTACTGCTGCTTTTTTTTTTGTCTTTTTCGTTTTTATCGGCGCCAGGGATTGGACTCAGGACCACACACTTGCAAGGAAGGCGCTTATGCCCCTAAGCTAAATCCCCAGCTCCTCCTTACTGCTTCTTGAATCTGAGATTTGTTGGCCAAGATCAATTTAGGGAAATTCTTGACTATTGTTTGTTTGCATTGTGTATTTATATGCAGTGTGATTGAAAAATATGGTGAGTGTTGTCATAATGGAAGATGAAACTGCCTATTTCTCAGGCTGTTTTCAATGCACATTATTTCTAATGTAATAAGTCCTTATAATTCACACTTCACTGTAGTGTTCCTGGATACAAATTCAAATTCAGCAATTCCCTCAAGATCAAAAAACACAACATCATCTTGATGTTGGATTTTTTTTTTTTTTTTTTTTTTGTCTTTTTGTGATGGTGTCTCACCATGCAGTTCAGGCTGGCCTTCAGTTTACTTTGTAGCTCAGGCTGGTCTTGAACTTGCAAAGATCCTCCTGCCTCAGCCTCCTGAGGTTACAGGCATGTGCCAACACACTTGGCAATGTTGGATCTTGAACAATGTACTTTTTTGCTAGAGGCAAACAGGATGTTTTCTACTGAGAACTCTGAATCTTGATCTCAGGGTCTCAGGATTGTAACAATAGACCAAGTTTCATCACTCATTGTGACCTTTCTTAGCTGCACTGTGAAGATCCATGATCATGGAGCTCCAGTGAAATGTTTTTCTCGCGATTCATGATTTACAGTACAACTTAACTTTACAACTGACTGACTACAATAAATAAGTTGAAACTTGTCGTACACTGTTACTAAGGTTTGGCTTGCCATTTCTAATTGAAGATCCCTATAGTTCAGTTGCATGGTACTAAACAGCATTCACTGTAGCAGTTGATCACACCACTTCTATTTTGCTTCTGCTCCAGTCTCTGTTTCTTGTTCTGGGTCTATGGTTACCTCTGTAGACCTTTTCATCAGTTCTCATGCTTCTACATTTATCATCATATTTTCTAACTTACTTTCTCTGCCTCAGTCTGGATAATTTTTCTAATTTATTGTCCACTTCACTAACTTTCTCTTGTGTTCTAATCTGCTTTTGAACCCATTTCTTCAAATTCTTAAATGTGATTGTCTTTTAGTTCTAGAGCCTTCATTCATTTTTTTCTTTTAAATTTCTTATTGTGAAAATTTAAAGAAGGGAACAATCAATACTGGTGTACCTTTAAGTAAATTTATTAGTTGAGGCTTTTTTTTTTTCCATATTTGTTTTATCTCTGTAAGTGAACCCCTGATTTATGAACTCAATTCGTTCCCAAGAGCTGGTCATAACTCACATTGTCAATTGAAGGCTCAGGCTCCTCTACACAGCCTTCAGATTCTCTCTCCTGTGTACTTACAGATCTCAGTGTCCTTACACATTGGCCCAGGATTTCTCATTCACCCCCATACAGGAAAGGATGTTGTAATGTTTCTCCAGAACTCTTTAAGGGTTAAATCTATCTGAGGCTATCTGGAAGCAGAAATGCTGGCAATTGGGTCATTAACACAAGACTTTGGTCGTCAGTTAAAACTAAAATTCTGGTCATAACCCAGGTTGTTCATATGTCAGAATGGTTGTAACTCAAGGATCCACTGTTCACAGACTTCATTCTCTCTAGATCATTTGAGAGTAAATTGCAGACATCATGACTGTTCTCTAAATACTTCATGACTTTTTCCTGAAGCACTTCAATATGTACATTCCAAATATAAGGAATTAGTTGCATAAGCATAAAAATTTTCACACTTAATTTAGTATGGATCAAATACTTACTGTAATTTAGACTCATTATTTGAATTTTCCAAAATGTCTCAATAAAATCCTTTATAGCTTACCCACTACCTTCAAGGATCACTCATTATGTTTAGTTGTCTGTCATTTTTGTCTCTTTTAAATTAGAATAGTTTCCTAGTCCTTTTTAAGGAAAAGCTGTTGGCTCCATTTTGATGCTGATAATTTTGGTTTCTAGACCAGTTATTTTGTAGAATGTTCCTCAATTTGGATTCACCCTAGTGTTTCCTCATATATAATTTTGTATTAAATATTTTGTGGCAAGAATACATCAGGATACCCTGAAGTTAGCTGACTTTTTTATTGGTCATTTGGTTAAGATGAAACTGTGTATATGTTAAATGCTGTATCAGAATATGTCTTGCTTTAAAATACAAATCTGGGTGGAAACTGAAACTATTTTCTAATGTTAGATATTTGAATAGTACTTACAAAATGCGTAGGCTCATATATACTCTTAACACTATATGCACAGGGGAGTAACAATTTAGATAACACACCCACCAGGAACTCTATTTTAGTTAGGAATTTTTTCCCTTTCAAATTTTGATTGCTTAGCCAAGAGTTCTTAATGAGAGCCAGTATAAGTATGTTTATATGCTTTATTCAGATTAATGTGTTTTTAAAATAATGGCTTAAACTAGCTAGACTTTACTTGTTTTTGTTATTTTTAAAAGTCAGTGATTCTGAATCTGCTTCTAGTAGCTTAAATATATCCTCAAAAAAAGACTACACATTTAAAAATCCACCAACACAGATATTTACTTGGAAAGAATCTTAATTTTTGTTAGTATCTAATTTTTCCAGATTTTCACAGAAATTAATTTTTATAAAGTACTTATTAGAGTATATTGTCTGCGTTTACTTTAAAAAATGTGAATTATAACTGATTAGAAACAATACAGAGTACATAGAGTAAGAAAGCCATACAGGATCTACATTTTTAAAAAGAACACATTGGTTAGGTACTTGTCCTAAATATAACACTTAATAGAATAAGCCCATATGTTTTGTAGAATCCAAGAAGATATTTAGTGAGTAAATGTCCAGTGAACATACTGTTTTGTTTTTGAAGATGATGTACCTTTATTTTCAGTGTCAGTGTATAATGCATATTTTCATTACGTCTATGAAGATAAATTATAGGAACTAAATCTGATTAGGACAATCTTGTTTACACAGTCATTAATTTAACAAATAAACTGAGTTTAGCCCTAAAGTTTATGTTTGTTATTAGGATTATAAAGTTTGTTATCTTTAGGATCTTACAGGCTAATAAAAGGAAAGACCTAAGCAGTTATTTATAGTAAATTCTATAATAATGCACTATAAAAAGTGTCTTAGAAGCGCATAGAGCTTAGCTAACTCTGCCATATTAAAATGAAGCTGTATTGTGACTGCATAAATCAAAACAGCTCACGTCATTAGACCTGCTCTGATTCATACAGATTTTTGTGTTTGACAAACATCTATGCTGTGTATAATGAATTCCCAGGTTTTCTTTACTATAGATGAGCCATTGAATCTTTTAGTAGTTGACCTATTTTTTGTGAACTTTTTATTTATCTTTTAGCCTTATGATCTGATAAAGAAACTGTGGTTCTAAAATTTGTTTTATTTATGCTTAATGCATTGAATGACTCCCAAGTACTTCAGTTTCACTGTTGCAAAATATACATATTTGACCAGGCATGGTGACATACATGCCTGTAATCCCAGCACTTGGAAAGCTGAGGTAGGATGATCACTGCTAGTTGGAGTCCAGCCTTGAATACTGAGTGAGTTCTAGGCCAGTTCAAACTGCGTATTGAAATCCTGTTTCAAAAAGAAAAAAACATATTTTCAGGATTATACATTAATTGATTACTACTTAGGTATAAAATTTGCTGAAATTTGTCTTTGTCAAGGGTAAAGTTTCTCAACAATATAAATAGAATTATTCTGTGTCATTGTTCCAGAAAAATTGTTTGCATGTCTTTTGAGTTTGAGGTTTGAATTAGGAATTGAGTATGCCATTTGGTTGAGAGATGGATAAATGCTTACAATAGCGCTCAGCTAGTGAAGTCCTACATGCATTTTGTTAATAACTGTCAGTGCTGAGGAAATCTGTAAGAAATTGCATCACAACCCAAATAAGGATCTATAAAGTATCTTAGAATTTCATTTAAGGAGTATGTCTGTGTTTTGATGTAAAAACATTGATAGTTAAGTAGTTTGTTATTTTTCTAGTTTTTTATCTGTTAATTGATATTCCAGTTTCTTAGTAGAATCATGATTGCATTTTTTATTGATAATTTTTAAAATCCTTTTTTCCCTCCTGACATTGAGCCAATTTTCAACTGGTTAAATTTTCAAGATGTTTAAATGCTTGTGTTTATAGTTTTCCAAGTTTTACTCAGTTTAGGATACTACTGATTACTAAAGAAAATCCAACTGTTAATTAACAACAGTAGATTAGGCACATTTTTTTTAAAGTAATTTTTATGCAGTTCAGATTACCCTTCAAAACATATGATGTATTGGTTGAGGTTCTTGGATCTCTTATAAAATGTATTGTATTTCCTGACCTGAATATTATATCAAAATAAAACAGTGTAGTTAGAACTTAATTGAATGAATCAGATTCAAGAAAACAGTGCTAAATTTTAATTTTCTCAGTATCCTAATGCCTTTTTCAATCCTCAGCTTCATTAAATTCTGTAATTTGAAACTACCCCAATTATCACCTAATATATGTAGTATAATTCCTTAAAATAGATTCTGAGTAGAAGTTCAACTATACAATAATTTCTTTTTATACCTGTTATATGTTTATATTCCCATACATTATAGTCTTACTATGTTTCATGACTTCGAGGTCAGAAGCTGTTTTTTTTTTTTTTTTTTTTGGTTTTCCAGAACTTATCATCAATATTCATTAGAAGGGGAAATAATACTCTTAAGGTTCTAAGAACTTTACTTAAATTATTGTTAAATCGATTTTTTATTCTCTTATACTTTTCTTTAGTGTATTTCAGCAAGAACATGAAAAATATGTGACTAGAATGAAATAAATAGGAACTTTAGAAAATGAAACAGGATGGTCTAGAGAAGTAGTAATCTGGAAATGAGCAAGCAGAAGTTAGAATATTCTTTCATAGTAATACTGAATTAGTGTTCTTATAAGGAAAGGAAAGTTCAAGGTAAAATCTTTTATTTTTTTATCTGCAAATTTCTGTGAGAAGTCTATTTAACGATTAGAATGTCAAGATTTTGCAGTACATAGAGTAAAAACTATAGTTAATGAAAAGAACCAGATGTTTAAAATATAATTTAAAAAGGATTTCACATATTTTATATGAACGGATTCAAAAATGTTTTGATGTTTAAGTAGAAATCATATTGTAGGGGTCTTTCATACTACAACAGTAAATGTAAAATTTAGACAAGACAAAAAGTATCTGGAGTATGTCAAAGCTAAAATTTATACTGTGAAATTACGAGTTCAGAGCAGACTTGAAAAAGTAGTTGTGACAAAGATGCCGTGTAAAAGGTTTGTTATCTCTAATATGCAGACTGCTCTTACAACTAGATCAGAAGACAAAACAACTCAGTAGTAAATGTGCAAAGGATTTGAATAGGTAATTTCAGGAGAGGAAATTTACATGTCAATATTTCAGAAGTTTCTCACATTAAGATTAATGAAATGTATATTTATTCACTTTGTACCATAAAATTGGCAAACATGAAAATGATCAGAAAAAGTGGGGATGTGGGAAGTTATTTGAATGCACTGCTGATGGGAATGTGAGTTTTTGCCTATTTTGGAAGAGTCTGAAAATATATATTAAGATTGAAAAAAATACATACTTCATGCCCCAGGACATCTTAAGGGAATCTATCCCTAAGAAATAAAAGAACTGATATGTACAAAGATGTTTACTTTAGCACTGGTTATAATACCAGAATTATCCACTAATGCCTACTTATAGTGGAGTAGGTAATAATACTATATCACAGCATAGATTATTATACTGCCATTGTAAAGAACACTGTATGAGCCAATTTAGAGAGAGTTTTTGTGACCTGTTGTTGAATGAGAAAAAAAAATATGTGCAGAAGTATGCATTAATAATACATCCTGGACTTCCGGGAGAACATGACGGACAAATAACAGCAGCCATGGAGGCTCTCTGAGATTACCAGCTTAGAATCCAGGAGTAGTGTGGTGTGAGGAGTCCTAAGCAAGGGGAGATGTACCCTGCTGGCCCAGGAACGAAGCCGAGAGAAACCAACTGGAAATGCAATCCTGATGCTATAACAGGAACACATAAAATCTCAGCGCAGAAGATGGAACCCGCGCCTCTGGAAGCTGCGATTTGAATTTCCTGCTGCCGCTGCTGCATCCCTATCAGCACGGCAGGAAGACAGATGCACAAAAGCTCTGAGAGCGGGAATTGGCGAACCAAACGGAGTTGAGTGTGGGACTGGCAGGGAGCCCTGCATCGACCTGCGGTGAGTGAGAGAAACGGGAACCCTTTCATAGACTAGGAGGCTTCAACAGAGGACATTCTGGGACCGGGCAGACTAGCCGGAACAGGGTGCTCCAGTGACTTTAGTCGCATATTCCCCTCTCAAGCGGGGAGCGCGTGGCCTGGTGACGCCGTGGACTAAGATCCAGTAGGCTAGCCCAAACCAGGTCCCTGCGCCTGGCGGTGTACCCTAGCAGTGAAGCCTTCACTACGCTGATCTGGAAGGATGGGCCCAGCAGAGGCTGCCCAGGTCTGTGTCTCCCTAGTACACTGCAGTGGGCAGGAACACCTAGCCGGTGGACTTAAACAAACTGTAAAGACAAAGAGAAAAAAAAAAACAAAACTGGGCCTCCTACATACACTTGTATGGAAGGAACAAAAAGTATGGGAAGAGGGAGCAACAAGAAAGGGTCCTCAGTCCCCAATCCTGAGAATACTGATCCAGGAAAGATAAATGCAAAAGAGAATAAAGACAGAAAACATGCAATATCAGACACGGCACCAATAGACATAAAGCAATATCTCCGGAGCCTCATAGACGAGTTCAAAAATGAAGTATTTAATGAAATAAAGCAAGACATAAGTAGAATAGTTAGAGAAATGCTAAGCACCGCTCAAGAAAAAACAGATGGTGGAATGGAAGAACAGGAAAAAAGGGGAGAATTGTTTGATGGAGAAAATAGAGAAAACATAGAATATGTGAAGTAGGTTCAAAGAGATCACCAGGAAATTAAAAACACTATTGAAAGCTGGCATAACAGCTTGAAAGAAACTAAGGATAGATTATCAGAACTGGAAGACAGATTTGTAAGGTGGGAGCATGAAATGAAAAACTTCTTAAAAATAACAAGAAAACAAACAGCAATAATACAAAGGCTAGAAGATGATAAGAGGATCTATAACTTAAGAATTAAGAACATAAAAGAAAAAGTAGGGACACAAGTGAATGAACTACAAAAGCTATTCACAGAAATAATCTAGGAGAATTTCCCTAATTTAGCAAAAGGTAAAGATACTCAGATGTACAAGGCATACAGGACCCCAGCCACCTACAACCCAAACAGAGCTACACCCAGGCATATAATAATCAAAATTCCAGAAATCCAGTATAAGAACAGAATATGGGAACACCCATCAGAATTACAGTAGACTTCTCGGCACAAACCATCAGATCATGAAGAGCGTGGGGGGAAATAATTCAAGCTTTGAAAGATAATAACCTCCAGCCAAGATTGATATATCCTGCACAACTGTCCCTAGAAATTGATGGAAAAACAAGGTGCTTCCAGGATAAAGAGGAACTAGGGGAATTTGCAACCACCAATTCAACTCTACAGAGACTACTGCAGGACATTTTAAAAAAGAAAAATACCAAGATTCCAGAAACAGTGGCAGAGAGGCCACAATGAATGGAGCAGAAAGTGAAATGAAGAAAACAAACTGACAACTAATGTCAGAAAAAGAGCTCAACAGAAATGAGGCAGAGAAGGTTAGATGGTAGGAACAGCCATTTTGGAGAAAACAAGACATCATAATAGGTAGTGCTGATTTAATATCATCTTGTTTTGTAGTCCCATCAAGCTTTTGTTCTTCTGTCTCCGTCGGTTTTAACATGTTGTATCTTATTGGATTTTATTATATGTGATAATATAAACAAAAACTTTTATAAACAAGGAGATTATACAGAAACCACTGTTCATTTTCTGTTAGTTAGTTCTAAATACCCTGTAATACTGTCATTCTCTTGAATGGTTTTACATTGCTTTGATATGTTTGATGCTACAGTATACGAAGTTATATCCAAAGATTTTAAGGAAAGAGACACTATGCTAACTACTTTTATGTCGGGATTATCTTGTGGTAAAACACTATTTTGCTTAAATGGCTATGTTTTGACCTGCGCTGTTTTGCTGTTATAACTACTTTTATCTCAGTCTCCTTTTTATTATCTACTTTTTCATGTTTATCCTTTTAATTAAGGAAAAAATAAATAAAAAATAGCAGGATATGTTATAGTAACCCACATTGATTTCCTATTAACTTGATTTGAAACCCTGTATTGCTCTCACCATCTTGTTTTGACTGATTTTCCTATATTCTGTTATGCTTGATAGTATCAAGTTCGAAAGTATAGGCCACAACTATGAAGACCATAAGATTCATTATGATGCCCATTCTGGTTGACTATTATCTTCTTTTGAAGTCCTCTAATGTCTGCAATGTTTTGGTTTTATTGGTCTTGTTCTTTACTGTTTTGTTCAATTTTATTATAACTGATGATATAGGCAATTCTTTTTAAGATAG